AGGGGGGGTGAACACTTCTTCTTGGCGCTGTACATGCGGACGTTCGATCCAACGTTAACATCAAAAATAATGATTACAGCAGCTCTAAGCAGCCCAGAGACATACAGGGAAATCAGCACTTACCCCAGCATTACATCCATCATTGTTCTAGCTGGATTGCTCGGTGGGCAGCTGTGACTGAATATTCATGAAGGGTGCCAGTCATTTATCTATTTTCAATAAAATTTTGGCCAAGTGCTGCCGGACCTTTTTTCCCGCTCCTTGCCAATATTCGGCCCAAGATTAACGACGAACCAGAGCGACGCTTAATAACCTCGTACCTTCATAATGTCCATCACGGCCCGACAGGCCTCGTCTTGATCCCGTGCCACGATGACTCCCTTCCCCGCCGCCAGCCCGCTGGCCTTCACCACCAGAGCCGGGAAGTCGGCCCTGATGAACCCAAAATAAAGAAATAAAGTCCCGATATTTGCAGTAAGAGTAAACATCTTTCCACAGAAAAGAAAAACACACATCTGGAGCAGATGCCGCGATGCTGTTACAGAGCATGAAATGTTTCTTTTGTGGACCATTTAACACTGGCAGCGCAGACTGTTGTTTGGGAATGGGTTTGGGATCCATATGGATGAAGGCTGTCAGAATGTGGCAGCTGCTGTTCTGCCCAAGAAATGACTTTCAGCGAGCGCACAGAACTTTTTCCTCTTTTTGCTCGGTGAAAGTTATGGCTCCGTTTGTGTTGGACCTGCGCGTCTTTGAGGGCGCTCTCATAGGAAAGGCAGTTATTACATCTTAGATCATTAACTCATGAAACCATCTGAGAAACAAAACTCCAGTGAAGAGTTTCCATCGCGGTGCCAGTTTTGTGTTTAATGGCTCTGAAAACAAAACTCTGGACAAACAAACTTGCAAACTTCCGTCTACTGTACTGACGTGCGGATGTAGCTGCAGGCCTCCTCGGGGTCGGTGAAGGTGCCGTAGCGGGCCGTGGGGATGCCGTGGCGCTCCATGAAGGCCTTGGAGAAGCTCTTGCTGGCCTCCAGCTGAGCAGCCTTGGCTGAAGGACCGAAACATGGCACTCCGGCGGCCGTCAGGTCGTCCACGATGCCTGGACGGATGTTACACATGAGCAAAAAATAAGATGTGCGAGGCAGGAAAAAAGGAGGTGGACGACTCACCTGCTGCCAGAGGCACCTCGGGTCCGACCACAACCAGCCCCACGTGGTGGTCCTTACAGAACTGGGCCAGGATGCTGTGGTTGCTCACCGAAACTTCTGCAGGGACAGAAAGGTGAGAAAATGTTTGATTTATGGGGCTTTTTTTTTTTTTACTAATAGGTTTATTTGGGCTGGAAATGACAAAAATCCATCATGAGCATCTCAAACAAGGACTTTTCCAACATACTGGTCAAATAAAAAGTCACTAGAAATGTTCTCCAGGATGGAGATCAGGGCTTTGTGGTGGCCACTCCACAACACTGACTCTGTTGTCCTGAAGCCTCTCTCTAACTAATGTCGCGCTCTGCTGAGAGTCATCGTCCACTTGCTTTAACTTCCTGCTGATGTCTGGAGATGTTGCTTCAATATTTCCACATCATGTTCTTTCCTCACGATGCCATCTATTCTGTGAAGTCCCTCCTGCAGCAAAACACCCCGACAACATGATGCTGCCACCCCCGTGCTTCACAGTTGGGATGGTGCTTCGCCCTTTTCCCTCCAAATGCAACGATGGTTTTATGTCTTTTTTCAATACAGTGAACGTAAACTTCTGGTTTCAACTGGATGTGCAGTTTACCCCCCAACATAATGATGACTTTATTCAAGCATTTCCTTCTACGTCATCCTTTAAACCACCAAACATTCAAGGACAATTGTAAAAAACGAAATAGTAAGCACAGACTTTTTTTTAACTTTAATCCAAAACAGTCCCTCAGTACTAACATACTTTGTGCTTTTCTTGGTCTCCAAAGGTAACAAAGTAAAAATATCTCCAGTCTTTAGAGCGCTGGTTGGTGAGACAAAAAAAAAAAAAAAAGAAATCTGAAAACAGTTTGTGATGCTCCCCTATGATGCATTTTCTAAATTAAAAGAGCTTCTCTAGGCGTGCGAGTGTTACCAGAGTTGCTGATCTTGCCACAGCTCTCAGTGCCGGCGTTCCCCGGCGCCACCAGGACCTGCTGGACCTGCGGCGACTGAGCCAGCTTCCAGGCCAGCGCGTGTTCCCGCCCGCCGCCGCCAACCACCAGCACCCGCTCCGCCATGACACCTGGAAAAACATCCATCCATCCATCCATTATGTATACACCGCCTATTCCTCACTAGGGTGGTGGGGAGCTGGAGCTTATCCCAGCTGACTATATGAAACAAAAAAAGCACCATCCCAAAGTGCGAAAAAGAAACAGTTCTTGACCATTAAGTATCTTTTAAATACAATACAATACATTTACACCTTTTTTTTTAAATTACATTGTTTGTTCTAGTCGAATAAATGGAGAATGATAAAGAACCCAGAATCGAGCCCTGTGGAACTCCACAGATGAGTGGTGCCCTTAAAGAACATACCAAACTGAGATAGAGCTATTTAACATGTCAGAAACAGTTCAGCTTTAACCATATGATACCTGAACACGAACATACATGAACATATGGTGTTTTTAATGCCCTCGAAGATACATCCATCATCTCTACACCTTAATCCTCATTACAGTCACTGGGGGGCTGGAGTCTATCCCAGCTGACTCAGGGTGAAGGCAGGTTCACTTGGACAGGTAACCAGTCTATCACAGGGCTACACTTAGAGACAGACAACCAAGCACACTCACATTCACACCTACGAACAATTTAGAATCACCAATTAACCTCAACATGTTTTTGGACCTTGTGGGAGGAAGCCGGAGAACCCGGAGAGAACCCACGCTGCCCGGGACTCTACGCAGAAAGATCCCGGGGTCCTCACCGACCTTCTAGCTGTGAGGTGACTGTACTAACCACCGAGCCACCTTGCAGCCCAACCTGGAAAAACAGAGGGACTGAAACCGGCAACAGTTTCACTCGCCTTTCTTTTTGTGTTTTGTTTTTTATCGTCTGTAGGCTTTAATTGCATGCAAGACCTGACCTATAACTGAGCGGCGGGGAGACGCTGACCTTTTCTCAGGCCTGCGGTCTTATATTATCTCACAGCGGCACGCTAACAAGGATCCAATCAACTAGAACAAAAACACGAGTCGACAATTACACGGCGTCGTCACCGGGAGCTCATTTGCATCGGGAAAACAAAGCTGTTTATCGAGGCTACGGTGAACTACAGCTCTGGCTTTGAGGTTTTGCAAACAGTGAGATCGTGTTTTTTTGTCTCTGGAGCAAACGAGTGTTCTATTTTTAATCCTTATTTGCATGAGTGGCATCTAAAATATGATCATTTTAGAGATGAAAAGAGTCACGTGAAGAGTTTTCTTAATTTTCTGAGGATTTGTGCAAGAGGTGGAGTTAATAGGTAACTGTTTGGATCACACGTTTGGATCAATACAAGCTCATCAGCGATAGAAAATGGCTGGTTCGGGCCTTATTTTAGATTTTCAGCACTACTAGTTTCGCAGCTAATAAAAGTGTTTGATCTGCAGGATGCTGATACGAAAGAGGCTAAAAAGACCAACCAGGGTCAGAGTTCAAACCTGAAATCTATTCCTTGTGCAGACACTTTATCTAACAGCTGATACCAACAGAAACTGGGATGAGACAAAGGGACGAGTGTTGCACATGTCTCCAAAATTACAGGCTTTGATTGAAACCACTACGCTCATGTGACTCACATGTCCGAGCGAAATCAAGCGAAGGAGCCATTGGTTTAAAAGAAATTAAGCCTTTAACTGCCAAAACTGCACCTTTTCCCCTCAGTTTGCTTTTATTTTTGATTAATATGTTGAGTATTTTCCCAATAAATTGTAAGAAAATGGTGGAAAATAGCAATCAGTGTTTCCCACAACCAAAGACAACATGACAGAGGAGGAAAAAACACACAAAACATGCACATAATCATAAAAATTGTGACTTTTCTTCTGAGAAAATCCCTCAAACCAGCGATTACTTAAATATTTAACAACTAATCTGACTTTATTGTGCTTTTTTTGCATTCCCCTCTCTCATCCTCTGCCTCTCTGGAGAATCCATTTGTCAACTTTGCTGCGTTTTAAAGCCAAACACTGACTCCATGCAGCACCAACATGCTCACACCTGCATCTCTTGTGCAATTTAAAAGACAAAAACATGCATTTCTTGAACAAACTTAACTAGTTTGTGTGTGCAAGCAATTAAAGCACGAGTGAGAAGCACTGATTCTGCTTTTTGCACTCAAAATAATCACAGTTTTGTGGCTTTAAAGCTCTTTTTTTTTTTTTTAGCAGCATTAGCACCTTAAACTGTGGTTCAACACTCACCTGTACCTGTTCAGTGAATGTGTGCTGCAGGAATTAGCCGGATCCCGGTGGAGGACAGCAGTCGGATGTGTCGCCGCAGCAGCTCTCAGCCTGCAGACTGAACGAGGGGATGCAAACTCATGTCACCACACACACACACACACACGTTAAACACACACCACGTGGATCCAATGTAACACAACGATGCGCGCAGCGGAACTAAAAGTCGACGAAGCGCGACCGGAAGTGAGCATAAAGTGCGACGTCGCGCTTAAAAGCTGCTAATTAGTTCATGTTTGTGTGTTTCTTACCTTTGTCTGTGGTGCAAAGTAATTTGGGGCAACTGTTTTTTGGGATTCTTCAACTTCCTTTTTGGGTGTTAACTGTCGAGTGCATCATGGGAGTTGTAGTTAATTTAGAGCCAGCCATCAATTAGCCGGAGGTCTTGTTAAGACCCGAGCTCTTGTTTGCTATACATATTTATTATTGTTATAAGTTTCTCTTTGCTATTTGAGGAATAAAAAAATTTAAAGAAAAATTTTTTTAAAAATAGAAAAACAATAAAAACATACAAAATATTAATAATTAAATGAAAACAAAATTAATAATAATAAAATATTAAAAATAAGATAATAATAAAATATTAAAAATAAAATAAATAAAAATAAATGTAAAAAAAATACAGTGGTAATATAACCCAAAATGTGATGTCCAGGTCTTCAGAGCTTAAGCTAGCTGTCCTGAGAAAACAACAACAGACAAACAAACAAACAAACAAACAAAACGCCTTAATTCTGCCAACAATACAAACTATACATATATTTTTTTAGCTGACTCAAATGCTTTTTAATATAGATTTAATTTATTTAAAATAGATTTTTTTTTAAAGCAAATTATGCAATTTTAGTTAGAATCAATGAATTGGTTCACTTACTTCCTCTGTAAAAATTAAAAAACAATAAAATAATAAAGGAAATGTTAAAATTCAGACATTTCTAACAGATATATTATATACAATTGTCCATATAAACATTTTAAGTTTCTAATCAGATAAAACAGCTTTGACCGATCAAAAATGTTTTTTAAAAAAACAACAAAGAAAATCTGTTAGGACCAACTTACAGCAACAGATTTTTTTGGTTCCATCTTTTTATAATTATATGTGATTATTTCTATGTTGGTCTAAAAACAGACATTTATCACAAATAATTCCCTTTTAAACTTCACTTTTTTCACTATTTAGCCTGAAAAAACTGAGGTCGTCAACTCTCCTGGCCAATATCAGGCTGAAGTGACACACAAACAACACACAGAAAATCCTACAATAACTCAGCGTGAGGCTGAAATGCACTTTTAATGCAAGTGTGGAAAAGCAACCCTTTAAAATAACACTCCACCACCATTCACACAGGTCTGCTGATACAAACACAGAATGCAGTCGGAGGATTCTATGCAATACATCTTGAATGTCAGCAACAACAAAAAGTGTCACCTTACAGTAATTGCAATCTAATTCAAACCATCGGGTATTTTCTCTGATGTAAAATTAAAAACTAACAGTTTAGATTTCCTATATTAAAACACAAGCTGCACACTGGGAGCTCGATGTAATTAAAGTCAGCACACGTTTCATTACTGAAATCTTTTATTGCTTCAGTTTCTTCTTCTCCAGACTCATATTGTCAACCAGCATTTTGGAACGTTCACAGACTTTCACGGTGCATCTATAAATGTCATCTTTTAACCCAAACCCAGCCCCAAATCATCATACTTCCACCTAGCACAGTTCCATCTTGCAGGTTTTGTGCCGAGCAGCAAGTTCGGGTTTTTCCCTGGACTTCAGTGATAGCAGTTGACGTTATCGACGATTCTTTACGCTGTCTGAGTTGTCAGAGAAGCTCTGATTTCCACTGGCAACCCCAGTGTCTAGTCTGCAGCAGCTGTTTGTGTATTTTAGAAGCTAAATTGTGCCAAAACTGAAGGACGACCAGTGCAGCTATTACTACTATTCTTGTTCTGTACTTGTTGCAACAAGTCTCACTCAGATTTTTAAATCCCTTTCGCTCCTTGTGTGGACGTACAGATGATACAGACCCACTACAAAACGGAGGAAGTCACTTCACAGCAACTGTCGTACAATTAGTCAAATGAAACTGGCCTGAGTTTCGACTTTGGGGCCTACGTTTTCACTGCAGTCGATTCTTTTTGGAAAAGACTCAGCTGTTAGATTTCAAAGCACTGCAGCTATCGAGAGGTGATGCGATTGTGAACCCTCTCACATTTACCGCACAGAGCTATACTCACTCCTAATGTAAACTGTAAGCGCATAACGGCTCTGAAATATACGCTGGAGCTGTGCCATTTATTACTTTGGAAAGAAATCAATACGGTCTGAGAGATTATCCCAAAGTTCACCGGAGGACGGTTTAAAGTGGCCACATGTGGGTGATGAGATCTGCTTTTTTACTTTAGCGATAGTTGGCAGGAGGTTCTTCTGCAGCTTGGATGCTGCGTTAACAAAGAGCGGCTTCATTCTGAGATCTGTCGTTGCACAAAACACACAAACACAGAAGTCATGGAGGAAGTTGTTTATGTCTTAAAATGTGATTAAACAGCTTCTCAAAGTGGTGACAGATCATGAAGCAGCCGCTGTCTGTTCATCCTGCTTCACATCTCGTCCATTAGAGCCTGGACTGATATCTGCTGATCCCAACAAAGTGTCCCACGATTCATTTCTTCCATCACAATAAATAAGTCTTCAAGCCTCAGGTCCCTGCGTGGTCACAACAACGGGAGCTCAGGAGCAGCCAGGAGTTCCTGCCCCAGCTCTGACTGTCGCAAGGCGAAGAGCGTGACGCCGGAGCTGTACGCCGCCGGGATGGTGATGTGTGTCGTCTTGGGTTGATCCGATTCCTGCTCTTCTTCTAGAACCATCTTCCTCACCTGACCTGGAGAGAACAAGAAGAACAGTAGAGAGTCTGGTTATGGATGAAATGTGGAGGAAATCATCAGCGGCTGTCTGCTCGACTGCCTCGGAAACTCTTTTAATCATAAACTACGGATATTTAAAATTGAATCGTGACATTTTTGATTTGTTTATCAACTACTTAAGAGATTATTTCTTTTAAAAAATGACCTATTAATCTACTGTCAGCATGTGAAATGTTCAGTATTTCTTATTGTACGACTGATTCAGAATCTACAATATTGAACCAAACCAAATAATCTCTGATGATGGGTGAGTTGAAACATGAAAAGTCCCGTCTTTGAGCTCATATTAACATAAAAATGATAATACAGAAGTCAACTAGTGATATTTTCTGAACCACATGTAGCTGCATGTCACACTAATACAAAACAAACCACATGGAATACTTTTAATTTTAAATATTTGGTCACAAAAATGAATAAAAGTTGTTTTTATTGAGTTTTTATAACTAGTCGAGCAGGAATGGTACCAAACACACAAAAATATCACGAGACAGAGTTTTAAAATGGTTTATAAATGTCCACATTTCAGGTAAATCAGAGATGGTTGAGCAGAAACAGCTGCAGAAGTTTTTTATTTAACCAGGAAAAGGCTCATTGGGATTAAAAATCTCTTTTTCAAGAGTGTCCTGGTCGAGACAGACGAGGCCACGACAGCATCCACACAAACATCATAACACACGGTGGAATCAAATTTAGAAGATAAGAACATATCAGCAGAGATCAGAAACTAGCAAACTCATCATCTGTATGTTTCTGCCTCCAAGTCATTTAGGAACAAGTGTTTAAAGAGACCAGCTCTTGAAGTTTCAGGTCTTTCTGCAAAGTGTTCCAGCCGGAGGGAAATTTAGAATCTTTCTTTCCTGCTCTTTTCTAACCACTGGATCCTCGGACCTCAGACTGGAACCACTTGCAGCTTTTATACAAATAAAAACCTGCAAATAACGAGGAACTTCCTTCGTGTGGTCAAATCAGACCATCCAACACGAGAGTGCATCGAACACTGATGAGTAAAAGACTTAAACTTGGTGGTAAACCTTAAAGAGCCGTGAATCTAAAACACTCAGACTCTAGTGTAGCATTCATCGTGTCTCCGTAGTCCAACACCGACGCAAGGACAGGCGAGACTGGATTCTAAAATAAAAACCCAGAGTCAGTCTCTTTTATAGCTGCTGGATGTGGTGTGTTTTGAGCTTCACCTTCGACATCCAGAGCTTCCCATCGAGGGTCCGACTGGCCCCCCGAGACGTCGGACAGGCTGCAGTCGGGCGTCAGGCGCTGCAGCACGTCTTCCCGACGAACCAGCAGCACCGACTCGCTGCAGAGGCGCTGGTGCATCTCGGCCTCGCTCACTGCAACACAAAGCCAGACGTGATCCACCTGAGCGACGCAAACGCCGCTCGCCGTCCTGTTCGTACTCACCTACATCTAAAGGGTTGGTCATGAAAACGGCGTTGGCTGCCACTCCGAACACGAGCTGGTGGTGCCAGGCGTCGGGCACCTCCTCGCCTTCGGGGACGGCCAGCTGCATGTTCATGGTCGCCACGGGGACGGCGCCTCTCCGGATCCAGCCCGCGAGCCAGGCGACCAGCCGGACCCGCCGTCGAGGGTGGAGGTGGAAGAAGCGACCCGCCACCTTCCCGTCGCCGGCCTCCTCCGCTCCCCGGATGAGCTGAGCGTGAGTCGCGCCTCCGGTTGTGGAAAAACAGAATCTGACATTTATTCTATTTGACTTTTAGCATTTAAATCAACGCACGTCCCCGTTTCCACTCAGAACCTCGTGTGAGCGATGACGGCTCGGGCTAAACGCCTGAAATGTCAGTGTAAAAACTGGGTAACAGAGCTGAAAAAGTCAATTACAGTCTCTCCACTGAGAGACATAAAACTCTTTGTCTAATTCGAGAGGGTACTTTTGAGTTTGCCTGGTTGGCAGTGCAGCCAGCTGTCACGCTGGCAGAAAACAGCACTTATGGGTTCAAGACGCTGCCGAGCTTCGTTCGGCGGGGAAGTTAAAGCCCCTGCTAGCATCTGTGACACCTGAAATATTACCGTCTGCGGAGCGAAAATGAAGACGTGCATCTATACCAAGCCATACTTTATGTATTAATATTTCATCAGCTGAAACGTCCCAGAACAGTTTGCCTGGAGAAGGAAATGTGGAGCTCATGCCAACAGTTTAGAGTGGAATATCTGCCAGTGTAGTGGCTTTTTAAGTAGCCTGAACAGACACAAATGTGATGTATAGCGTCGCAGCAGATGGAAATATTTTTACAGTCTGGTACAAAAACTGCTTCGGCGTCCAGGAGGGGAATTTTTATATATAACTCACCTGTTTAATGAAATTAATGATTTAAGGTATAATTAGGACAGTCCATGGCACAAGTTCAACAAAGTCAGACGCTGCCAAGATGGCGACGGTGTCTATAAAAACTATTCAACCCCCTTAGAAGCTTTAAATCGTTGCCTTTTTTCTTTTTTTTGGTAGCAAAAAAATTACAAAAGATGCAGGTACGGTGGAAGCTGCTGAGAAGATCCCCACACCATGATGCTGCCACCACCGTGCTTCACATCATGATGCTGCCACCATCATGCGTTATGTCATGATGCTGCCACCACCGTGCTTCACATGCTTCTTACACAAAGCAGTGTGAGGTCGGGCTCACTTTTCAGGTGTCCAAACCTTTTTTCCTTTAATTTTCTGACATTGTTCAGTTTCAAAAAATGTTCAAATGACCCAATATCTCCGCAAAAACAAAGAACCACAGAAAAACTAAAAAAAAAAAACCCTAAACTTTACCAGCTACTAGCTTTTCCTTAATCATCTGACAATCCCTCAGATTTATTGGTGTATAAAACTGGATAGAAGTATTTCAAACCAGCTCCAGCAGCTCCATCACTGATCTGCTGCCGACACACTGATGCTTCACTGATAATAATCTAATGTTGCCAGGTTTGGACTTTTACTTTGAAACTTGAACTACCTTCAGCTGCTCATACTTATGTTCTTTTATTTAACTTGAAGTTTTCATGCAGGCTCTTCTTTTTAATTGAGTATTTTTACATTTCTGTGTTGTATGTTCACTTAAAAATGAGCACAACATTCCTTTTTCCCCCCCTATTTATACTGTAAAACTGTCAGATCAGGTATTCAGCTCGTTTACCGGCTTCACTCCGGGACAGCAGGTAGTCGGGCAGCGGCGACTCGTTCCTCCTCAGGCGCGTCTGGACGCAGCGGTCGGCCTCCTCCGGGGGAACGTCCACGCCGAGGGCCTTGAGCACGTCCACCACCGCCGTGGCGCCGCAGGCCGACGCTCCGATCTGGAGGGTCTGCCTCTCCAGAGCCTCCTGGATGGACCACAGCATGGCCTCGTCGTCGCCTCCCGCCTCCTCCGGGTGACCTCCGAGGACCTGATCGGCCTCCATGTGGGAGCCTCACCTGGAAACACAGGTTGCACAAGATGTAAAAAATGTTCTTTATGTATCAGCAAATGTACTGACTTCCATTTAAACCCAAAATGACTCATACCCCCCATGCAAACTTTGATTTATCATGAATTTTTATTGGATCAGCTGATTTTTTTCTGGCTAGAAAAGATAAAAACAACTGTGTGGAGATTTTAAAGACACATCTGAGCTGTTTTTATTGCAATTTTACTAAAAAATTCAACATCCAAATGATTCATATGCCTTAAAATTAAGCTTTGACACCAAAACAAACTGTCCTGGTCATTTCTAGTATGTTCTAAAACGTTTTAAACACAAAACAGACTTATTTTGGACTTAAAAACAGTTCAAAATCCATCATTAACACCTCTAACACAAAGCCTTGCTGCCTTTAGTCACTTGTTTCTGTCATTTCCAGCCACAATAAACCAAATAATCAACAAAAAAAATCAATGTAAACGCTATTTTTTAAACTCTTTCAACAGTGAGATCCTTCTTAGTTGTCTTTAGCTTTAAATCCACTCACATATTTGCCTTAACGCGGTGAAAAAATCTGATTTCCTCGATGTTTTCTCACCAGCTCTGACACTGACTGACAGCAGCCGCCTGCAACAACAACGCACAGTGCGCATGCGCAGTCTACACATGGCTTCTTCTTCTCTGCTGCAGCTCAGAGACGCAAACAGACCAGCAGCGCCCCTCCTGGCCGCCTTCAGCAGCTGCAGCCAGCATCTTCCTGACAGCGCATCAGCGTGAAAATGATTTTAAATGAATCAGATGGTTGAATAAAAGCACAAACCGTCAGATATTATCAGAACACAGTCAAGCCCGACGCAGATGGCAGCGCTGATGGGCTTTTTTTTTTTAGTGTACTTTATCACGCAATGGTTTTGTTGCATGGGTTTTTTATTGCTTTCTGTTTTTTAATTGACTCATTTGTTTGTAATTAGTTTTAATGGTTTTATTCGTGTGATGTTGGCCAGAGTTTCACATAAATAAACTGCCTTCATTATCTCGGCACATGTTTCCAATTTAGCCGCGAATGTGGAGGACGCGGTTTTAGGTTCTGGTTTAGTTTGTTTGGCTGAAACTCACCTGTCATTTCCGATGCAGCGTCTCAGCTGCAATCAGCACGTGGATTCTGTCCAACAGCAGCAGGAGTTTTGCCAAACGTGGGCCTTTTTTGTTTCCCTCCTCTCGAGCTGAAATAGAGACAAGCGTTGATGATTTTCTGATCTCATCACGGTGGATCTCCATCACACTCAGGATGCCATCAGTGATTTATGTCGGTACCTGCTGACGTCTCTGTGGTGTCTCCGGTTCTGGATGGTTCCTGAAAGTTGATGCCTCTGCTGTTAAGCCGTTCCTAATGTAAAAACTCTATTGTTTCAAGTTTTCCTTCTTATGATTGATCCAAACTAA